ATTTCTCATTATATTTTCTGAGTATATATTGAATAGGTATGGTTGGAGAATGCACCCCTGCCTCACCCCCTTTTGCATCTCGAACCAATCAGATGTCTCACCAGCTGCTCTGATGGCTGCTTGTTGTTCATGATAGAGATTTTCAATTAATTGCACTAAATGCGCTGGAAACCCCATACTTTTCATAATAGTCCACAGTTGGTGGTGCTGGACACAATCAAATGCCTTGCTATAATCAATAAAACAAGCATGAAGATCTACATTGTATTCTCTGCATTTTTCAAAAATTATTCTCATATTAAATATGTGATCCCTAGTTCCTCTACCCTGTCTGAAACCCGCTTGTGCTTCATCTAGTTCATATTGTAATTTCTTTTCAATCCTTTTCATGATAATTTCTGGATGATGTACTAACAATAATTTCTTAAACTTCTTCTTCTACGTTGACCAGCGGAAAGTTCTGATTGTTCCTCCGTTTCTTGAATTTGGTCTTCTTCCAGAATTGAGTTTTGCAGGCACATCCATTCTAGAGGTTTGGCTTACTTGTATACAGACTGTTGGTTCCTTGCTTATCAGGCAGATGCACTTCGACAGAAGTACCCCTATTTAGTTCTATAACATGCTTGTTAGTGAGACAGTGGGTCTATTAACCCCCTCGCCCTCTCTTGCTTTGTCCTCACACTTGTATCACTGTCTAGCTCTCGCTCTCTTGCCCTCAGTTTCTCTCCAGTATGGTTTTCAAAGAGTGTTTCATCTTTTAACGAGGACAAATTATTTCAATTCTCGTGTGCTGCGAATATGTGACCAAAGACAATGATTGCACTAAATTTGAAAAAAAAAATGTATTGTTATAAATCAATTTTGAAACTAACCAGAGCAAGCTACCTATCTAAAGTTCACAGCTGGATAAATAAAATAAAGACTTTGATTGGAATGTTATTTATTCAGGGAATTTTCATTCAGCAGGAACATAAATGGAAATAAATTTCACAACAGTTATGAATAAAAAGAGATTTACTGAAATTTCTACAGATTATGAACCAGTATCTTGTGACTCTTGCACAGTTTGGAAATCAAGGTAACCCCTATGGAAACACTTGAGCGCAGATACATGACTCACTTAAGAGGCTGAATCCTCTCTCATTTCAACTGACAAAGATATATTGCATAAAATATTCTCTTCATTTCATGAAATACTGTTATGCTTGGTTATTCTCCCCCTGTGGGTTCCAGGGCCCCATTGTGGGAAAAACCAGAATAGACCCACTGCCTCTCCCAACAAGCATGTCATGTGAGTCGACTAACTGGAGGCATCCTTCAAAATTAGAGGCAAGGAACCAACAGTCTGCATATAAATAAGCCAGATCTGTAAAACAGATGTGCATACAACACTCAGGTTCCGGAACAGGACTAGAGTCTGGAGGTGAACGAACACCCAGAACTTTCTGCTAAAGTTTACAGGGGATGCCCTGGTACCAACTGCCACAGAGGGCACCGCTGAAGAAATTTAATGAACACAGATTAAGGGGAAGACCCCGCAAGAGATGGAGCAACATCATCAGGAGCAACCTGACAGAAATTAACACCAACTTGTACAATGCATTAGAAAAAGCGCACAAACGATCCTTACATTTCCCCCCAACACCTCGATGAGGTAAATGGTGGAAGAGAAGAAGATCGTAATCCAAGCAGAAGATCAAATGGTTCGATCACCTTGTTTTGAATGCAGCCCTAACTACAGACACATATACTTCACTCAAATGATCCGTTGTAAGATCTGTTGCCCAAGGGCATGATGGATCATTTTCTTCCTCTTTTCTTTTACCTCTTTGATCTCTCAGAAGATGGATCAATGACATTAAAGAAATTATACATGGAGCATTCAGAAAGTAATGGCCTACATTTTGTTAATTGCACACTGTTTGTCCAAAATGTTGGAAATTCAATGCCATGTAGCTTGTCATGTCCTTTACACATCCTATTTTTTCAATGACTTCTATAACCAAACATCAGCGTGAAACAAAAGCTTGTCAATCTTGTCTGTATCAGGGTTTTCCTTTTTTATTTTCAAAGAGACATTGGGGGGGGGGGGGGGGGGGGGAGCGTGTGGTGGGGGGGGGTTGGGGGAGGGGGGATGGGGGAGCACAACATTCCTCAGGTCCATCCACACACTTTCTATAGCTTTATCTCTCTGAATAAAGCCATCAAAGAATCTCCTATTGACTGCACTCTTCCAAACACCAATGTTTATGAATGTTCATGACAGGTTTTTTCTTTTCACAAAGAAAAAGCTTACAATAATTCAGTGTTTGTAATGCACACTGTCCTTCTGCTCTGTTTTAAAGGAATTAATGCAGCTCTTCCTTCCGTCAGAATGAGATGCCATTTTGTACATAAAATAAAGTGAACAGAATCTGGCTAGAGATGACCACCACTGAACTGACCAGCATGGGCAGGTCGTCATTTTACGCCTCAGGGCAAGGCATAACAAATTTAACAAGCATATGCACAGTACACCACTGTGCCCTTGTGGGCTGTTTGTGCAAACAGCAGAACATGTCTTGCAAGAATATCCCTTGTACAGCCCATTAAGAAGGGAATACTGGCCCAGTGTGTCAACACTACAATCAAAGTTGTGATGATCTAAAAGGGAACTCCTAAAAACAGTCAATTTTATCACAAGAACTGGTGCAAAGCAAAAAATATTCACAAAAACAAGAAGTACATACAATACCGACATGTCAAATTTGAAGTATACACTGTCTCATATTTCAATCTTCATTATTTGAATGGCAAACAAATATGAGGCATTACTTACTTAATGCACATGGTACATCCCCACAAAATTATAATGACCAGTGCTGCCCATTATATACTGGATAAAAAACTATTCCTCACCAATAACTTTATCAACAAATGTGCAAGTTGTTAATGATGATGAATTTTCTTTCCTTGTAAGACATTCTCATTTGCAGTAAAAAGTTTAGTTTTTTTTATTTTATATTTTAAATAAGTTACAAAATTGTTATAAGATATAAGAACTAAAAGCACAAAGTAATCATAATTACATGCCATTAACCCCAATGTGGGTTCTGGGGCCCATGCTGGGGAAAAGAAGAATAGACTCACTGCCTCCTAAGAAGCAGGCGACTATTTAGGAGTGTGCCCTTTAGAGTTAAAGAGTGCATCTACCTGAGAGACAAGGAACCAACACTCAGCATACAAATAAGCCAGATCTGTAAAACAGATGTGCATACAAAACTCAAGTTCTGAAACAAGATAAAAGCTAAAAGTGGATGCATAACCAGATCTTTCCATCAGACTTTACAACCGGTGAATTTTAATAAGAAGAAGACAGACTATTAAGGCAACTGAATGATGTTTTGTAGGTCCATACAGTCAGTGGCACAACTGGTCAGAAAATATGTGAACTTGTCACTACTACACACTGAACCAGAACAACAGTGTTGGTAGCCTAGCATATTAAGCAGTTCACACTTCAGCTCATGAATCTAAGATGTTGAAAATGAAATGCAAAGCTTACAATATGTCTTAGTAAATAAGGTCATTTACTACAATAAGCAGATGTGATCTTTGAATTGTAAAATACTTGAATAAGAAATTGTAAATAAACAACAGCCTGTCTAGATTCTGCAATTATCACAACAACAATAAAATGGTTTTGAAGCTAGATATCTGATGTAATAGATAGAAATCTAGCAGTGAAATACAAAAATATTAGCGGAAATGAAACGTTTGAGAAGGGCTCAGGTGTGACAAGAGAAGATAAAATAAGAAATGAGATCCTGAGAGACAAAAACTAGCACAGAACCAACTGTGAACTATTTACAAAGTCAGCAGATCAAATATTTAGCCCACTTAGAATGCCTTGTGACGCCATACCACACAAGACATACACTAGCAGAGAAAGATCCAGAGTACAAGGTAGACAAAGAATGTTGAATGCTGAATTAAGAAACAACATCACAGCACTCAGGACACCCCCATAAGTGCTCCGCCCCCATCTTCAGCAGCAAACGAAGAGTTTTAATTCTGATGGCACCAGTAACTGTCTGATTGTATATGTGTCTTGCCCTTCTCCTGAGTGCTGAGCGTCTGCCAGATCCTCTGGTAACTCCTCGCAGTGCCATTCTCCTCAGACCTTAATGATCTATCTGTGCATCCGCACTGTTCACTCTCTCCCAAAGGGCCCTCACAAAATCTAGCTTGCCAAACATCAATTCACCACCAAGTGGTGCAGAGCCGGCCAGTCTGTCTGCCTGCTCATTTACCAACACACCAGTAGACCTGGAGAAAATATCCAAAAGACGCTAACTACCCGGGACCTCTGAAGTTTTGCTTGCTACTCTGCATGCAGCATGCCTGTCTCCATCTTTCACAACATACTCTATGAGTCAGTGACAATTACGGCATGTGTGTACAGCTGATTCTCAAGCCAGCGGAAGGCAGCAGAAACTGCCTCCACCTCCTTTCTCAAACTAGACATTGTGATATGATATTCAAGGTTTTATTAAAATAAGCGGGGTTCATTCACTTTTGCTATGAAACCTGATGCACTTTGTCTGCCTCTCAACACAGAGACATCTGTATAGATAATCACATCACTTGGGTGCAAATTGTCATGAATCATTTGTTGAACCTCTGATTTTGCAGCATCAGCTGGCTAGTCCATGCACTCATGACCTAACGTGATTAGAACCGTACACAAGTCTGAAACTTGCTCGGACACCTTGACCCAATCCTCTCCTCGCCCAAATTTATCAAGCCTGCAAACATGTACACATAATTGTCTTCTGTTTGCACCATCCAAGACCTTCCTCTTTTCAGTCTGAGATCCTTAGCTCTACCCAGGGCTTCTAAGCTTTAAATGCTTAGCACAGCTGTTTACAAATGACACAAAATAGATCTACTTTATAATCATCAAAACAATCAACATCAAAACAATTAACATTACTTTTTAATACAAAATTAGGAATTTATCATCTGTTCATATACTCTACACCACTTTCCAATCTCAACTCAGGTTCTTCTGAATGTTTTACAACTGGCCTCTGACCCCGCAAAGTATGGCTTACTACAGAGCTGCTTTCTACATCTAGGGGTGTATATCCCCTCCTTACCAGATACGAATAGACTGGTGGTTCTGTTGGTTGAACTGGTTGTCTTGCTGGTCTTTCTGTATAGGTAGGAGGTGGTAATGTGGGAAACACAGGAGGTGGCTGGAAATGAGGAACATTGGTCATCATAGGAATAAAATGGCCTGTGGGATAAGCATTGTATGGAACTTGAGCCTGGGATGGAAGTAACTGTGGCTGTGGTGGATTAGGCTGTGAAACACTTTTCACATCATGTTTTTTCTGCTGTTTAGTTTTATGCCGAACATTGTGCCTTTTCCTTTGAGTTCTGTCAGCTCGGCGTGAGGAAGAATTTTCACTTTCCTCATCTGTTCTAGATTCAGTGTCTGAATCAGTGTCATATTTACGTGATCTTGATGTTTTGTGGACTGAAGACGGTTTTTTCACAGAGCTGTCAGTACTAGTGACCTCAGAGTCATCATTTGAGGAAGAATTTTCAGATGTAACGTCACTGACATCATTATAAGATGGCGGCGGCTTTTGACCTTTTCTTGCCTTGTGATGAGAACGCGTCTTTTCTTGAAAACATTCTGAATCTTCTGCTGTAGTTGCAAAGGAGGCATTGCTCGAAGCATACCTTGGCCTTGCTTCACTTTTTTCTTCATTTATGAAACGTTTCTGAAGCACTTTATCTATAAATAGAAAATTAAAATATTTATTTCAAGGTCTCAAATGACAAGAAAATGTACAATGACTTTATAAAATAAATTACCATATAACGGTACATTTCTGAAATTCAAACATATAACCTAATTTATTTATAATGATGCAGTTAAATTAGCACAGAAAAGTAACACAGTATTTTAATTACTGATCTTTGCTGCAGTTATCAAACATCTCAAACAGCAGTATATGTTTACTTATGCGAAATAGTATGAAAAATGACATTAATTTCTTCATCAGTGTTTCTCTTCATCTGTTAAAGTTACACTAGCTTTTCAGAGACATCTTATTTCATACAGTTTGGTCATTAGGTTTTCTTCCTCTTCACTAATTCACTTTCAAAGAAGTGTATCACAGCTAGTGAAACAATTCTGCAGTCAGCGTATCTGACTTCAGCATACACATTGTAAGATTTATTTACTCTAAACAGATTCAGTCTATGGTGACAGTCTCTATTTAGTCAATGGTAGGATTTGATTTGTACCAATCTGTCAGGCTAGTGGCCTTGTGGCCTACCCTTATTTGTAGCCAATTTTTCTTGTGGAGACAGCAATGAGATTAAATTAAATGTGTCCTTGCCATTTTTTTTTTTTTAATTCTTTGGCATAAAAGATGATTTGTCTGAAGACAGTTTCTGTTGGATTGTATCTTTTGTATTAATTCAGCTTTAGATTTCTTGTGCTTTTAGAATATCTTTTTGTTTTTCTGTATTTGATTTTATTACTTTTATTTTATGCTGTAACTCAGGTCTACTGTGCTTTTTGTTCATCTGGCCGTTTCATCCTACTGCTATATTTCTCTATTGTTTTAAAATTCTAAATAGATGCCCTAATAACACTCTATTCATGAAAATAGTCATTTTTTCGCTTCACTTGGGATATTGAAAGAAAGTCTTATTCTCCCATCCTCTACCTCATCTTGGTTTCCTCCGGTGCCCTATATAATTAGGCGCAGTGGAAATAGGGGTATAACTTAAACTGTATATTTAACATCCCGTCTTCTACTTCCTCTTTGTCTCAGCCGCTGCCGTATCCTGAGTCACTGCTCTTAAATGCACCCTAGGCATCCCCTGTAATATTAATACCAGTATTTAACAATTTGGGAGACAGACACATGTATTGACTCAGACATATGCAGATACTTGGTTTCAAGGAAGATAACAGTGAAATATACTTTTTTTTTAAAGAATTACCTTTACAAGGGAAAAGATGGAGATATTCAAAGGATATAACTCCAGTGAAAGTTTACTATTACTGACTGTTGCAATAAATAAAAGAAAAGAAATGCACACAAACCTGACCGCTAGTGTGACTGTTCAATTAAAGATTGTAGCCTTCATGGCAATTTACAGTTTAAAGAGTGTAGTGGTCACAGTTTAGGAAAAGTAAGCACTTAATTTAAAATAAACATATGAAATACATAAAGGGTTTGAGATTTATATGAGGGCGCATGTGTGTCTAAAAAATACATTATGTGTGTGTCTCTCTTTCACTACATATATGTATGTGTGTGTGTGTGTATATAGACATATATATACATGTCTGTTTCTCGCTTTATATATTAACACATATATATTAATATATGTGTGTGTCTCTCTCTCTATCTCTCTATATATACACACACACATGGAAATATACTTTCCTATGGGGGAGTTACAAAATATGTATTGCTTTCTTTATTCAAGAAGAAAAATGGGGTCAACAAATGTGAAGGTAGACACACATTAGAGAAATTGGGCGTAATACTAACAATAAAGCATTGTCACAACCAACTATGATGCAGAAGTTCAAACCATCAAGACAGCAGCAGAGGAACTGCTAAATACCAGTCATATTTCACAACCCAGGGTATTCCTGACAAATGCAAGAGAAGTGGTACTTCAGGCACTCCAGTCAGAAAATTACCAGGTATAAAGACACTAATCTACAAACTAGGCAACCGGTGTAAAATAACTACAAAATGGATGCCATCCCACTGCGGAGTTCCTAGAAATAAAAGAGCTGATAAACTAGTCAAGGAAATTGCAAATGAATAACAACCTGACCTACTAGTGCTATAAATATAAGAAGAGAATAATCAAATCAATCAAAAAGTCACCAAATTGGCATAACGCAATTATCATATTATGATAGACCAGAGCAAGTCATTATTCTATGCCTTACAAGAGGGTATATTTGACTTCGCAGCCACAGTTACACAAAATTTAGGATTAGCAATTCAGCCAAGTGGACTGGCACCTGAGACAACAGATCATGATCTCTAAGACTGTCCCAAATACAACATATCAAGACAAAACTTCTGGCCAAGAGAAACACAACTAGAAGCCAAACTTTATGGGTCTTTGAGTGAACTACAACAGACAGTGAAGTTCATTCTAGAAATAACATTGCAGACACATAATTTATTTCAAGCGAACAAAAGAAGAAGAAGAAAAACTGAGCGTGAAAATACATGAAGCAGATTAAATGAGAAAAAACTTTTTTAAAAATTGAGGAGGGGGGGGGGGGGGGGGGGGGGGGGGGGGGGGGGGTGATATTAAAAAAAAGCAACCAAAAAAAAACTGCCCTAAGATAATTTATGTTCAAGTAAAATTAGGGTTAAATTTTAGGTTAACTCTTTTTTATTCTTGTTAGCAATCACTGTCTGTAAACTCTGATGGAAAGTTCTGGTTGTTCATCCACTTTTTCAATTTTGGGCCTGTATCAGAACTTAAGTTCTGCATGCATATCACTTTTACAGATTTGGCTTATTTATATGTAGACTGTTGGTTTCTCACCTCTCAAGCAGATGCATTCTGATCCCAAAGTAAACACCCCTCATTACCTGACCTTCTAAGACGTGAGTCTATCCCCCCCCCTATCCCCCCCCCACCTCCCCTCCAACCACCCACTAATGTGCTGTTGTTTGCTTCTGGCCATGGTTTTCTGACACATTTGACTCATCTATGGATTTGTAGTATGTGGTTCTGTCACCCAGCTACCAAACTGAGTGCTTTGATGCAACACTGTGAACTTTGAATTTTATTTAAAGCACTTTTACATTTGTGTCCAGTGTAGTTTGTGTTATGAATTGCACTTCCAAGCAATAGTAGCTGACCTGTTGCCACCAAACTGGCAATGTGTCTTCTGCAGTGATGCATGTGTAGGCTGCTAGTTAGTTATAAACGTTGCTCTTTTAGAGAATGGTTTGCAGCTCTTGTGGCAGACTGTTGGCATTGGCACTCTGGTGTCTGCTTTATGCATTTAATGCCTGTGTCCTGTTGTTTGGTTTAACTTTCAACAGGATGGTTTAAATAGCACAAGAATGGCGCTGTTAAGGGCTGACCCAATGCTGTGAAGTTGGGACTGTTGCGATACAATTTTGGAAGACCTATTTAACTCACAGTTTCTAGCATGATCTCCAAGAAGGTCACCTGCTCTTAAACTTAGCATCATATTTACAAGACAAAGTTATAGTTTGTTTTTTTTAAATTACATTTATGCAGACATTTGAAGATTTAAAAAAAAAAAAAAGGTTGTTGAAAACATTCCAAAAAATACAAATAAGAATAGTACAACATAATACAAAGTTAAAATGTAGATAAAACTCGCCATTATAAAAATTGTCAGAATCATCTACTGTTTTTGATGTCATATTTTTCTGCACGTTGAAGTTGGTTACTGCCAGCCCTTGCTTTTGTTTCGCATCCACTGACCAAACACTTGATGGTAGATGTTTCTTATCAAATGTGGTACCTGAAAATTGTTAATGATGTCAGCCTAAGCAATGAAGGAACAAATCTCTCTCTCTCTCTCTCTCCTGCTTTCACTCCTTTCCTCTCAGAGTCTGACTAAAAAAACTAGAACTTCACTGGAGTGTGCTACAAACTAGGTCAGCCCCCAGAGAAAATAAATCCTGCTCCTTCCAGAGACTGAATTTTGGAAAACTGTGTGGCTTATGCACTAATATTGTTGCTTTAGTCACCCCTCTTTGTGTGTGTGAGAAAGAGAGAGAGAGAGAGAGAGAAAGAGAGAGAGAGATAGAGAGAGAGAGAGAGAGAGAGAGAGAGAGAGAGAGAGAGAGAGAGAGAGAGAGAGAGAGAGAGAGAGAGAGAGAGAGAGAGCTTCCATAGATACTAAGAAGTTCAAATATTGTTAGCATTGCATAGCTGTAAACTCTAGTGGAAAGTTCTGTTTGTTCATACATTTCTGGACACAATTTTGGTCCTGTTGCAAAACTTGAGTTTTGCGTGCACATCTGTTTCACAGATCAGGATTTTTTGTAGGCAGACAGCTGGTTCCTTGCCTATCAGGTACTCTGATTTCAAAGAAAATATCTCGTCACGTTGTTTGACATGTGTGTTTGGTATTTTCTCTCTCTCCCCCCCCCCCCCCCCCCCCCCCCAAATCCCCCACAGTGGGGTCCTAGAATCCATACTAATAATCTGAGTTTTCATAATTTGTAAGTTTTAAAGCCCTGTGATACTCAACTAACAAAACATCATGGAATAAAATAATAAAAACCTTAACAAAACTGAACAGGTGCTGATAAACAAGAAAGAAAAGCACTTACACACATTCAGATAAAATACAATGGAACATGTACAGATGTCAATAAACTAAAACTGTAAGCAAAAAAGTATGTATAACATATGGATGCCTGAATTCGGATCTCCTCCCAGTCACATGTAACACATATGTATTCTTTTTTTAAAACTTGACGGCTGAAGCGAAATTACGTTTATAAATAAAGTTTAAACACCTTACACATAAATATGGACAAATATAAATAAAACCACTTTGTTAAGCAAACAGCAAAGGTCCATTTATCTCAGTAACACAGGAAAATGTTGTGGTTTTTAGTTTAGTTTTATTTTTTATAAAATAACTAGATTTAAATGCCCGACTTCACCCGGGACAGCGAAAGAAAAGTTTGTCTGCCGTATGTTAAGTCATTGCCTCCAACTGCATCTGAGACTCTCATTGTCCAGAGTAATACTAACACCAGTATGTAACAATGTAACAGACAGACACATGAATGTCTTTTATACAGCTGCAAGGTTCCAGTGGTTCGTCCACTTCTGGACCTTGTTCCTGATCTGGAACTTGAACTTTGCATACAAATTCATTTGACAGATCTGGTTTATTTTTATACAGACTCCTCGTTCCTTGCCTCTCAGCTAAAAGAAAATAATAGGCCCTAAGTTTCAAGGGAGGTAATAGGGAAATATAGTTTTGTCAAAGACATTTTTTTCAAGGGACTTTAAAAAAGAGGGGGAATTCTCTAAGGGGTATAATTCTAGGAAAAGTTAACTTTAGGTGATTTTTCCCCTGGAATGCATCTTCAATGTATTGAGCAATAAATGTGATTTTGTCTTCTGTTGATCTACAACCTCAAATACCTGCCTGTTCCTCCATTAGTTTGAAGTTTTTCTTTAGGAACCAGGTCAGTCGGTTGTTCAATAATCTTTCAAATAGTTTGCACAGACAGCTAGTGAGGTTGATGGGTCTGTAACTGTCTGTGTTGTTCTTTGGATGGGTTTGACATTTACAAATCCTGCCATCCATTTAAGGATGCAATTTTTCGTTATTCGAAGCCCTACTCTGGCTCATGCCAGGGGGAGCAATATAGCCTGGCCATAAATATGGCCTAATGGCTGAACACGGTTTCTGGGACCTCTCCACGGTGATCCTCATCCACATGGTGGCACATTGTGTCATCGGGTATTTATGGCTTGTGTGATGTCCTGGTGGGGTAGAAAGTCAGTCAGATCTGATCTCATTGCCGTCATTTATTACTACTTGACTAGCCTGTTGGGCTCCATTTAAACACTTGACTAGTTTCCAGAGTTTTGATCCATCTTTTTAAAAACTTGGGCTCTTGGTCTTGTCTTGCCAGCTCTTCCTAGTTGCCTGGATTGTTTCTTTTTTGAGCTTAGCTTCTGCTGCTTTGTAAGTAATGTTGTTTTCTACCGTTGAGTTGCTTTCTACTCTATCTCTTGCTTCTGAGAAAGTTTGGTGGAGGTCCTGAATTTGTTGTGACCAAAATGGGATGTAATCTTTCCTTGAACCCCGAGGTAAGGTTTCTTTGGCTGCTTTTGATATAGCTTCTGTAAACTCTTTAACTGATTTAGCAGCCTGACTTGATTTGCCATTTACAAAGCATTTATCTAGTATACATCAGCAAGGGTAGCAAAACTGTTCCAATCAGCTTTTTTGTAGCTCCAACGAGCGGGCGGCATCAAATGAACGCCTCTCATATTCAGTGGTCACTACCTGCAAGCTGGCTAAGCACCGTTTTATGTATATTGCTTGCCAAGTCTAACAAGGCAAATGTTAAGAGAAGCCATCTCTTGGAGAAAAAAGATGGGGAAAAACAGTGACTCTCAGTGGCTTCAATGTAAAAGTAGGCCATACAAATGTTAATTTCGTGAGTGGTAACTATTTTTTTGTGATTTTTGCAAATTAAACTTATAGTTAAGACTTTTGTCATTATATCTGTAGTTTAAGACTTTTGCTATTATGCCTGAACTAAAGACTTTTGCCATAACTGCATGTACTTAAGACTTCTGCCAATATGCCTGCAATAAAGCTCCTCATTCATGACCCCCAAAGCGAAGCAGATAAGCAGAAGCAAAAGCATATCAAGGATAAACGACCATAGTGATCAAGTTCCGGCATCACAATAGTTTATCTCCATGTGGGTTACGGAGCCCCACTGTGGAGAAAACAATAACAGACCCACTGCCTCCTCAACAAGCCTGTTGTAAGAGTCAACTAATTAGGAGCTTCCTATGAAGTCAAAGTATATCTGCCCGGGCGACAAGGGACAACCAACTGCACACAAATAAACCAGTAAAACGGATGTACATGCAAAAATCAGGACCTGGCATAAAGCCAAAGTCCAAAAGGATGAACAACCAGGACATTCCCCTGGAGCTTATAGCCAGTGAACATAGAAGAAGAAGAAGAAGAAGAAGAAGAAGAAGAAGAAGAAGAAGAAGAAGAAGAAGAAGAAGAAGAAGAAGAAGAAAATGACTAGCTATTTGAAGAGACCCAGGACATCAGAGACATCGATACAAGTGGGAGGTCACCAGGCCTCTTTCTGGTAAGACATGATGGGGGAGGGATTTTGCAAGGGATCTGCTATATCATAATATTGTTTATCCCCGTGTGAGTTCCGGGGCCCTGTTATATGGAAAACAAGAATAGACCCACTGCCTCCCCAAAAGCATGTCCTAAGAGTTGACTAATTTTGAGCTTCCTTCAAAGTCAGAGTGCATCTGCCTGAGAGGCAAGGAACCAGCAGTCTGCTTACAAATAAGTCAGATCTGTAAAATGGATGCACATACAACACTCAGGTTCTGGAACAGGATTGCAGTCCAGAAATGGATGAACAACCAGAACTTTCTGCCAGAGTTTACAGCTGGTGAACACGAAGAAGAAGAAGAAGACAAAATTGTTTATATGTGTTGCCCAACTGTTTAAACTGTCTGTATGAGTATGCACATTTTTGTCTTCCCCAGCTTCCCTCGCAAAGTATTTTCTCCTTTTAAAATTTATCTCTACATTTAATTCGGCGTCATTTAAGGTCTACAGACTGAACTTGTAACACTTGCCCATATCACTGCCTAAACAGTTTAGTTTAGTTTTTTACAATATTCTTAATCAATCAGATGCTGTCTCCACAATGAAGGTTGGCTGTAGTGTACCTTCAACACCCAGATGTACACCCAGACTGCTGTTTGTCTAACACAGTGGTCTCTAACCTTTTTCAGGTTACGCCCCTCCCCCTCCTTGATTATACTGCAAGACCCTCACACCCCCTCCCCCCAATATACTGCAAGAACCCCAAGTATACTCAAGCACCCCCCACCCCTACCCGACATAACAGAATGTGATTAAAATGAGGAAGACAACAAGAGAAACAGGCAGTATGAAGATATGTTTTGACCAGAATGTGTTCTTAACATATAATTAAATGCCTGTGTTATCAAATTAATTAGATTTTTAACCACATACATACAAACAGCTTGCTATAACAAACAAAAAATGTCCTTGGCTTTTTGTTTTATAAATAGTTTTTAAAATTAATAATTTTTTTTATTAATAATTAAACTGGAAAAAAATAATATAGCAGATTATTACAAATGCACTCAATTTCAAAACTGCTTGACAACCCCTTAAAACCTCCTCGTGCCCTCCAGGCTGGAGACCTCTGGTCCAACTTGATGTTGTCCACCCACTTGTATGGCTGTCTACATCTTGCTCTCTTACCTTCAACTTTTCACTATTGTATGGTTTTTTAAGACAAGTGTTACACCTTTTAGTCAGCGTCTATGGCTCAAGGATTGCAAGCACAACTTGTAATCTCAAAATACCCAGTTCAATTACAGCTGCACGTGATTTGGCAGCAGATTGCTTTGTGCTGGTTTCAGCAATAGTTTAGATAGCCAACCAGTCAAAAAGCAATAGAAATTAAAAGGAGGATGGCCATGGCAATGCAGAGATTGAACAGTCTTAAAAGTCTATGGTTAAGCACCAGCAAGGAGATCAAAATTAGAATTTTGAGAGCATGCATCTTACCTGTGGCTACATACGGATGTGAGTCGTCAGTCGTTAAGAAAGAGAATAGGGGCTTTTGAGCTGAAATGCTATAGAAAGATTCTCAGAATATCTTGGACAAAGAAGATGAGAAATGTTGACATCTTAAAAGATCTGAACATCAAGGAAGATTGGCTAATAAACAGCATCCTTTCACAAAAGCTGAAATATTTTGGTCATATCAAGCGCCACGACGGATTGGAAAAAATTATAGCAGAAGGCATGGTTCCGGGAAGGAGGGGCAGGGGCCAACCAACACAAAGATGGGCACAGGATATAAGTGACTCCTTGAGTGTGAAAGTGCATGAGGCAGGAGAACTAGCGAGAGACCGAGTTTCTTTCAGGCAGACTGTGATGAGAGCGACGTTCTGCAAAAAACCTGCTACATGATGATGAATGAATGGGTTCTCCTATGAAGTAGGAGTTCATCTGCCTGACACACAAGGAGCCAACAGTCTGCATACTAGTAAGCCAGCTCTGTAAAACTAATTCACATGCAAAACACAGGTTCTGGAACAAGACCAGGATCCAGAAGTGGATGAATAATGGGAACTATCCCTCTGAGTTTATAGCCATTGATTGCAAAGAAGAGGAAGAAGAAGACTGATTACATACCTGTCTGCAGTGTTTCCAGTTGGTGGGTCTCCCAGTGTTTGTTCAAACCCCAGTAACTGCGACTGAAGTAGATTATTATGACCGTGCATATTATGATTACAATAGTGTAGAAAGCTCCAATCAATCCCACAATAGCAGTCTGAGGAAACTTATCAAAGTAATGGTCGATGCCAAAGTTGTTTTGATCTGATGGGTTTATACCACCTGTGGAAATAAATATGTTTGAATCAGCAGAATGTAACGTTCTGCTAACAGATAAATGACAAAACTGCATATCACACAATAACATTTAAGATAAAGAAAATGAAATGTCACAATATTTGGTCACAATCTTTGATTATCGAGACTTTAAAATAAAATATCTTCAGCACAGACGTCAAAAGGAGGATGGCCATAGCAGTGCAAACGATAAAACAGCACTAAAAGTCTATGCCTGGGCACCAGCAAGAAAATCAGTCCAAATTTTGAGAGCATGCATTTTTCCTGTGGCAACATAAGGATGTGAGGGACTACCTCACAGTCCTCAAGGTAGAAAATATGGGTGAAAAATTGACATACTAAAAGATACAAACATCAAGGAAGAATACATATAGTCTTAGAAATTGAAGTATTTTGGCCATATCAAGTGCTGCAGTGGATTGGGAAAAACAGAGCAGAAGGCATGGCACGAGGAAAGAGGGGCAGAGTCTGACAAGCAGGGAGAGTAGCAATGGATTTAATAGACACTTTGGGTAGGAAAGTGCATGAGGTGGGAGATCTGGTGAGAAACTTTGTATCTTTCAGGCACAGTGTGATTAGAGTGATGTTCAGTAAAGGACCAGCCAGATAATGATGAACAGGGAAATGACAGATTCAAACAATATAAATTAATCTAATCTCTGCATGGAAGAACATGTACTTTGTTATGAGAACTTGAATTTGGCAAATATTCAATAAGTTAACTTTCATAAGCCAAGGCCTTTATCAGGTTACATACACAGTGACACATATTGAAGACAAAATCATATGTGACAAAATCATATGTAGCATGCTCTAATACACATACATGCCAATCTTTATTATATGTAAGACTAAAACAACTGAATAAATTATGGAATTGTACAGATAGAATTACAAAGGTCAGATTTTTAAGAGCATGCATCTTTCCCATTGCAACATACGCCTGTGAGACCTGGACACTTACTAAACAAGCGGAACAGCGCATAAATGCATTTGAATATAAATGTTACAGACAGGTTCTAAGAATATCTTGGGTAAAGAAAAGAACAAATGCATCCATACTTCAAGAGCTGAATATTGAAGAGGGTTGGCTAGTAAAGACAATAAAACGAAGAAAATTGAAATATTTTGGTCACTTGAAACGTCATGGAAGTCTAGAGAGAACAATAATGGAGGGGTACATGCCTGGGAAGAGAGGAAGAGGAAGGCCAAGGAGAAGATGGGTGCAGGATGTGGCAGATGATCTCCAGATGGGTGTATCAGACGCAGGATATCTTGCTCATGATAGGAAGGTTTTCCGGAGGGTTGTTATGGCAGCGAGGTTCCGCGAGGGACATGCTACTGAATGAATGAATGAATTACTACAAGTTATATATCATCAAGAACTTCAAGAGACATTTGTTTTTCTATCATACAGAATGTGTCGCAGTTTAACCAATGACAGGCTGCTGAGTCAGGGAATATCTGGTTGCCTGCTTTGCTGTGTCTTAAGACCACACTGATCCCTTCAATCCATTATCTTTAAAGTCTCCCTCTGCCACTTTCTGTGTTTCCATTTTCTGTTGTATTATCAGGCTGCCATCATTGATTGATTCATTTTCACCAGTCTTTGTTTCTCACTGAATTTATTAATGAGCATTTTGCCAATAGTTCTGCAATCTCTTAATTTCTCACACAATCTCTTCTATTTTTATTTACAGCCTTTCTCAAACATATCATTTCACAGCTGGTTAGTTTTCTCTCATTCTCATTGGTTAATGTTCAAGTCGGACACCACTAACCAAAAGTTGGGGAAGGAAAGGGGGGGGGGGGGGAATTGCATTTGTGATGTCTTTTAATTTCTGTTGGAATAGCCGGATGCTGCAAGACTGAGGTAAGTTGATACATAAAATTATTACCTAGCTGGACAGTTTTTATGTCTCTCCCACAGCCTACCACTGCATGTATGGATGCTCCCAAAGTATTTAATTGATCACACTAGTGTCAACCTTCCATCTATTTATTTTGATGGTTTAAAGTTCTTTCTGAGTATTTTAAAAGTTGATTTTCATGCGATTTTGAGGCTGCTGTCATACAGCTGGTCTCTGGTCGTGCCGCTGTTTACTTTCACTATAAATAAGTCATTGATCATCAGCAGAAAGTAGCTAACTGAAGCCTCTTGTTCAATGACACCTTGCAGCACTGTGTCTATTTTGTTAATACTGTCCCTGTGTATTATAAAAAAAAGGTGATGGTAATAGAACACACTCTTGTCTCACTCCTGATTTGACTAAGTCTCATTCCTGAACTGACTAAGAACTAATCTGTGAGACCAGCTCCTGTTCTGACGGCACTTTTAGCTTCTCTGTAGATGGCTTTTATGCAGTAGACGCGTACCCTTTATTCTGTAGTTTTCAAGGGCTTCAAAAAGTAAAACTTAGTTTATTGTGTTGAATGCTCTCTCTTGAAATAAGAAAGCCATGTTTATTTAATTTTGGAAAATTAATAAGTAAACTAATCTGTTTTTAAAATTAAGTAACAAGTAAAAAATAATGCACTGGTAGACACAGAAATGCCAAAATGAATCTTCAAAACAATATTGAAAGATGTTTTATAAAACTTAACAGTAGTACCATAAAGAGGCAGCCAACATTTTTAGTCATTTTATGAGAAAAGAAAAACTGAAAAACACTGTAACAATGGAAAGTATGAATGAAAAAAAAAGGAATTAAGGACAAGGACCAGAGAAGATTCCTGATATTCTCCATCTTGATGATTTCTAAACTGTGCTGGACTTTGCTGGGTCCCAAAAACCTCACATTGCATGCAGATAATCTGTTGCTTTATTAATTATTATGAAAATAAACATAAATACATAGTAAAATGTGAAATAAACAGTACCTCTGATAGGGGTAACTATTATTTCAATATCAAAGTTTGCGCTGTTGACATTCCGACGAGACATCATAAATGTGACTGTGTTGCCAGATGTTATAAATCTTTTTCTGTTCTGATTCTGACTTGTGCGACAGTCATAAGCCATCTAAAATAAAAAAGAAATACTAAAGCAAGTTAGAAACAAATGTTATTTGTTAATATTTTTACAGAAGTAAACCAGGCTCGGAAGTATTTGATAACTCTCTCAGTACGAAGCAAATCATCATGCATTTCTTAGCTTTGTTACTGATATGCTTTATTTTCTTCTGAACTTTGTGTCCCATCCAGTTCCTACACTAACCAATGTTGCTACATCAGACTCAAATGTTTATTTGATAAAGTAACAATTTAGAATATAACAACATAACTTAATACCTGCTGGGACTGCAGCTTTTAAGAAATAATTTTATTGTAAACTAAGCGGCATTTTATTTATTATTTATTTACTATTTCTTTTTATACCTTTTTGGCCTTTAAGTCTATATTGTTTGCAATCCCTTGTAGTTTCTTTTATAACTGTTTATATATTATTCATCTGTAACTCAAAATTTGTTCTCAATAATCTGCTTTTTTCCAAGATATTTCTTTTTTCCCTGTAGATTTCAGCTGAATAATTTACTATTTACACTATTAACTGGATTACCCCACAGATGTGCTTTCTGAGACGAATGTTACAAATACCTTGGATGGGCAGAGTAACTAACAACGATTGTTTGAAAGAAGCTAAAAAAACGTAGATCTCTGTATTCAACAATAAGAAGGAGACAAACACTGTTCTTTGGCCACGTAATAAGAAAAGAAGCATTGGAAAACAGTGAAAACTGGAAAGATCAGTGGAAGGAGGAGTAGAGGCAGACCAAGAAAGATGATGCTGGATGGGCTGAAATGATGGCATGGAAGGATATCATCAAGAGAGCTGTTCCAGCCAAAAAGGATCCTGATCTGTGGAGATGGATGAGCACCTATGCCAATTGGCAGGGCACGCGATGATGATGATCTCATAAGACACATGTCATTTCTTTATCTCTCTCACACACACACAAACAGAGGCATGCACCCCAACACACACATATGCACCCCACAAATATATATGCACACAGGCATGCATTCATTAGTAACATGCTAATGATACAGTTTTGATAGCTAAAAATAAAACACACCTACAAGAAATAATGTCAATCATTTATAACAGAAAGTCAAAACAAAATCTTGGTCTAAATAGTTGAAAAATGTTAGAAAGAGTAATTACAAAGATGCCCTCTGAAACGCAACATCAAAGTGAATCCCACAAGATTTAAGCAAATGATACTTTAAAAGCAACAACAAAAAAATGAAAGATGTATTAAAGAAGTTAAATGTAGAATTGCTCAAGCAAAAGCAGCTTTTTATAAGAAGAATATTCCAAGCAATCTGTTTTTGTCATTGGAGGTGAGAAGGAGAGTTCTTAGGAACTATAAAGAACCAATCCTGATATATTGAAGTCTTCTTCTTCGAACACCCATGAAAACCCAAACAAGCATGTCATAACATACGACTAATTATGGGTGTTTTCTACAAATTCAGAGTGCGTCTGCCTGAGAGGAAAGGAACCAACAGTCTGCATACAAATATGCCAGATCTATAAAACAATGTAAACCTCAAGTTCTCGTAGATGATTAAGACTAAAATCTAGGAGTGGACGAACAACGAGAACTTTAAACCAGAGTTTACAGCCGGTGAACACTCAGAAAAAGAAGAAACATTAAAAAAAATTGTTGTTGCTGGTAGAGTGTGAATAAATTCTGTTTCTATATTTGCAGATACCATTACTTTCAAAGCATCAAGTCCCCTCTTGATCTTTGACATGGCCTCTCCACATCTTTCTTGAAGTGCAGACTTCTGTCAAAGGTTATTTCCAGATAACTAGGTGCATTTTTTTTCTTGTTTGGATTGCCATTTATTGTAACGTCCAGAAGCACATTAATTTTATCCTGTGAACTCTACAATCCTGATGACCACTTTGAGGTTTCTAAATATATCCATTCTATTATCCCAGTGTTCTTGAACAAGCCAGGGTTCATAAAATTATTACCAAAAAAGAAATGGTATCATATTTAAGAAATTATTTATATTTCTGTACAGGTGATAACAGAAACACAAAAAGTTGTCAAAATGATACAAGCAAAAGAAACAATAACTGTAAGATGTGAATTACAATAACACAAAGCATGCATCTTGTGAAAGAAAATATAATGGTACTTAACACTCCTTCTGATAGTAAAATCATGTATCAAAAACTCCAAGGAAAGATATATAAATAATATCACAATAGATTGAAAATGATGTACAGGTGACAGTCAGAATAAAGTCAGGTAGTCTTTCTGCATGAGCTGCAAAAGGATAAAATGTCCCTCCCGGATACAAGAATATAAAGATATTCAAATACAAAACAAAATAAAACGTCAAAGTACAGGGGTGAGGAACAAACTAAACATCAAAAGCAAAAAAGTCAACAAACACTATAACAGAATGAGAAAATGAAACTAAGTAAAAGAACTCACCATTAATTGTTGAGCACCATCTCCATCATATATAGAAACTTGTACGTCACAATCCTGGATGTTAATTGATATAGCTTCTATATCAATGATGGTGCTTTCAAACTGCCCTGTTGACTGCAGCCGAATCGTGCAAGTGGTTTGTCCTTGTCTGGTGGAGGATGGATCACTACCTTTAATGACTGCTTTTGACCCATACAGTTCTCGTATAGGTTTGTTGCAATCACTAGCACTGTCAAAATAGACTGTAAGCAAAACAAAAACATTACTGTTTAGCAGTACACAAAATCTGATGCACGATAAGGTAAACATATTTGATGAAAGCCGCAACAATTAGGTCTGAAAATCAAAAGACAATTACGATAATAAACCAGGCAAATAATAATCTAATTTGTCCCTCTCCCTCCAAGATGAGGCATCATATATCTATTTAAGTGGTAATTTTGTGGTTGAAAAAAAGTCTTAGTTTGAACAGCAGAAAAAGAGAAGTAATGGTAATTACAAAGAAAACTAACCCTCCAAAATGCAACATTAAAGTAAATGGGACAAACCTCAAGCAAGTTGATATGTTTAATTACTTGGGTACCCTGATTACACTAGACTGAGTATGTATTAAGGAAGTTAAATGTTGAATAGCTAAAGCAAAGGCAGCATTTTACAAAACAAAGAATATTTTATGCAATCATTCTTTGTCAACCGAGACAAGTAAGAGAATTCTTAACAGCTTTATAAATCCATATATTGATATACGGATGCGAATCGTGGACATTTAGTAAATTAGTGAAAACTTATTTGGAAGCTGCGGAGATGTGGCTTTATAGACGAATGATGAAAATACCCTGGACAGATAAAAAAAGTAATGAAGACGTCTTGAAAGAAACTGACTCACAAAGATAACTGATTGCCCACATCAGAAAAAAGACAATCTACATTATTTTGTCATGTGATGAGGAGAAAACTGGAGTATATCGTGACGGTGGGAAAGTTAGAGGGGAGGAGAGGCAGAGGGAGAATGAGAGAACAGATCCTGGATGGTTTGACATCATGGCATGGAAGATCATCTGTGTCAGAGTTGATTGAAAGTACATGAGACAGAAGGTTGTGGATAGACATAACTACCAAGGCCACATGACATAGACTTTAAGAAGACTGTTGCAGACTTTTACACCTATTTACACAGCAATATAAGTGCATATGGGGAAACTGATAGAAATATTAAAATATTAATATAACAGGCAAGGGAAGTTTTCATAGAACTAGTCTAGGGAATCTATGGAAGGCAACAGAAATACAAAACTAGTACTTAACTTGAAATATCAAGCTCTAATATTAAATCGGTACAACTGTATGGAGCTGAAACACTGAGAACAACCACTGAGTTAAAAATATGAGTTGATTCCTAAGCGGGGGGAAAAAACCGTTGACACATTCCGTTTTGGGGAACAGCTGTTATTGAGTTGGTTTTCTATACAGTTGAAATCCCTTGCTGGCTGATGGGATTCTGTCTTCCCAGATAGTGGGCAGCAGCGATCAAAACACTGTGAAGGCAGCATGATCGACGCCACCAAATGTATCAGCCACTATCCCACCTCAACACAGCACAACCATAATACACACTGCTCCCACGAAAAACACATAGTATCCTGCATAGGAAATGTGCTCAAAATAGCAGTCTGTCATAATGGAACAGAACCTTCTGAGAGAAATCACAGCCATCGAAAAATAACACCACTGCTATTCACCATTTTGAAAACAAACGTCCTTTATAATATTTGTGCACTATAATCTGGTGTCATGTGGCCACATGTTTTTCTGAGAAAACTAGTAAATAGAGAAAAAAAAAATGATTGCATTTTATAGACAAAAAAATTAAGAAGAATAGAAAAGCTGAGAATTAAAAAAGATGTGGTGAGAATGATTTTTAAAGAAAAAAAGCAAGTTATTTAGTATAACCACTTTAAAATATTTGACTCTCTTACCGAAACTTACAGAAATATAATGCTAAAAAAAGATAAGCAAAAAGCTGGAAGATAATATGAAAGAGATTAAATTACAAAAGAGATGGAAAAAATTTACACCAAAATTCATAGACTGGAACCATTAAAAACATATATGTACTTGTTTCACCCTCTTAGCAAAACTATACTGAAGTGTAGTGTTAATGTTGAATTAAGAATCGACATCACAGCACTCGGAACACCCAAATAAGTGCTCTGTCCCAATCTTCAGCAGCAAGTGAAGAGTTTCAGACAGTAGCTGTCTGATTCTATATCCGTCTCACCTTTCCCCTGAGTGTTGAGCGCCGGCCAGATCCCTTTATAACTCCTCGCAGTGCCATTCTCCCCAGACTGTAATGATCTGTGCCTCCACACTGTGTAATCACTCCCAAAGAGCCCTCACAAATTCCAGCAAATTTCATAAATTGTCAGACATCAGTTAACCACCAAGCGGTGCATAACCAGCCAGTCTATCTGCCTGTTCATTTCTCAACAGACCGGCATTCCCTGGAAAAAATATCCAAAGAATGCTAACTACCCAGGACCTCTAACTGATGCTTGTGTTAAAGTAGGACATGTAAGAAGTAGGTAGAGATACAAAGTGGAAAGATAACATAAATACACAAAAGAGATGGAAAGTACTGAAGATCCACTGATGCTCAAATTCACAGACAGAAACTGCTAAAGCCTTACATGTATACTTACATGTATTAGTTACTGTGCCTGCTGATCCTGCCGATCCTGATACTGCAGGTTTTTGTGTGAAAGCAGGATTTATCTGGCTTTGTACTGTGTGAATCACAAATGCAAGTACTGTTGCTAATGACGCAGTTTTCGCCACCAGGAACAGCAACTGTGACATTTCAATATATTAATGTCCTCTGCCCTATTCTTTAAATTTGTTGTTTGTTGCTCTGTACCTCCTGATTATGCTGCATATGAAAACAACAACAGAAAAGTTAATCATATTTAAAGGATTACATTACTCTTACCAAGAATTAACAAATTATGCTCTCAGTGAGTGAACAAATCAAAATGGTTAAAAAAAAATGAAGCAACAGATTATTGTTATGCCAGGGGTGCACTAGACTAGATTAATAAAGTGGTGAAAATATGGGGGTGACTGCAGTCAAGATTAATAAAGGGAAAGTCACTTAGTAAAGGCAACTGCATAAGTTTATTTGTTGCTGTTTTTGTTTTTTACCAGCACCTGGAACAAAACTCTTCTGTGTCCTACTTCTTGACATAGTCTCCCTGTCTTGCAATCCATGTAATCCACTAATTCACAAGATTGTGGATGCCCACCAGGTAGAAGCTTTTTGGTGTGACTAAGTTTTCACCACCAACATCACCTCATTGTCATCTGCAAATCTCTGATCCCACAAATGTTCTTTCAGTGGGTCAATCAAATGAAAGTCTGATGGTGCCAAGTCTGGGCAGTATGCTGGATGTTTCAATACTTCCAACCACAGAGTCGGTAGTGTATCCACTGTTTGTGCATCCATATGAGGGCAGGCGTTGTTATGCTTCTGTTTATTGGACAGCTGACTTGGAATCCATCTGCTACACACTTTCTCAAACCCACAGCTGTCATGAACAATTATATATGCAGCATTGTGACTCATGAGGAACTTTAAAGCAATTTTGTCAATAATAACTCGTCTATTGACACAGATTCGCAGTTCTGTCTGTTTTTTCACAGTCTCAGTTGCCACACTAACAGATTTGCCAATCTGCATTTCATCACTGATGTTACCCTTTCCATTTTTAAATCTTTCCACCCATTCATACACTTTCCTCTGAGACAAACAAATTTCTCCGTACTGAACTGCATTCTTCAATAGATTTAAGCCGGTTTAACGCTCTCTGTCCACAATAAACAACTGATACATCCTTGCTCTTCTACGGTGCATGTTAACAATGCTGTGGCCATCCTGTAAGAATTGTTGCACATGCGCATGCTACTAAACCATCATGACATGTACTTTGGGTATGGCAAAGGAGCTAATCGGTGTCCCGAAATAATTTTTTTTCTTCTTCTGCATTCTTTTCCACGCAGACTAGGATTCAACTGCCTTCACTTAATGGTTTCCCTTCACATTTTTATAATCATCCTTTTGTAAGTGATGGCTATATTTATTTCCCAGGCACAAAATGACAACATGAACCAGACAGACTCGGTGAGTGGTGCCAGCAATCGAGAGCACAAGTGTATCAGGCAAAGGCCTCCCTCAACATAGAGTTATCTCTAAACACCCACAAGGTCAGTTCACTTATGCCAGTTGTAAGCATGTGTTGTATAGACATTGAGAGAAAGGACACCAAGAAATATCAAGGAATAATGGAAATAATTCTTCTTCTTTTTTCTTCTTGCGTTCGCTTTCTGATTTACACTGACAGACAAGTTCTTGTGATTAACTTGACTATTTTTAGGAGTTTCCTTTCAGTTCCATACAACTTTAGGTACAATATTGACTCAGTGGGCAAGTATTTTCCTTTTAATGGGCTGTGCAAGGGACATTCTTGCAGGAAATTTTCTGTAGCCTGCACACACAGTCCACAGGGGCACAGTGGTGAACTACTCAGAAGAAACATGTATATATGCTTGTTAAACTTGTTATGACCTAAGCTTGCCAATCAATGCCTGCCTGCGGATCCGAAGGTCATGGGTTCAGGTCCTGACGGAGCCGCACTTTTGTTCACAAATGACCTTCACTCCTAGGTTGACCCAGCCTCAGTGGGTATCAGGTGCAGTCCTAGGAAGTAAAGGTGGCCAGCGTGGTGCTGACCACATCCCCCACCAAGTGCCAAACGGTCTATAAAAATATAGGTCTTGCCCTATATTCCCAAAACGCCTAAAGGCATGGAAAAGGGACATTTACTGACTATTTTACTTGCCACTCAAGTAAGTGGCACTTATTTCTGACCAGATTTTGTTCACCTCTAATAGACTGGATGGCCCTTTTCTTCTCAAAGTATGTCACTGCATTCTCTTCCTGTTCAACTTCTGCCCCTTTCTTAGCAATTTTATCCAGTTTCGTTTCCTGTTATACCACAGTGGGATGGCACTCATAATGTACATATCGTTTTTGGGCAGCCATCTTTCTTTGTTCAGATCTCAGTTGAGGGAGTTTACCACTCTTGAGGGCAAAAAAAAAAAACCTGGCCAAGGTGGCGGAATAAGCTGCGTCTATCACTATGCACTTTTGATAAATTTTGTTTTAGGGGATTTCCATCAAATTATTGTTCAAACAAGGATGATCCAACGACAGGCCCAGCAAGCCGGTAGGGGATTTGTTTGTTCAAGCACCATTGCTCAAGATTTATGGTGTATTTTAATGAAAAAGCGCGATTACACCAGCGCTTCAAACCGCCACACACAAGACATAGTCATGAAAGAAACACTGGCCAAGATAAACAGATCCGGCACGACAGTTTTTAAGATGGCTACATGGAACTTTTGTGGTATGGGGGATAAAGTGGCTGAATTGGTTGAATTTATGATAAAGAGTAAAATCAAGGTTTTGGGAATTGCTGATATCAGAAGAAAAGCTCAAGGCGTCCAGAAAATTCATAAGAACTTTGTTCTGATTTGGAAAGGGACTCAACCACAAGAAACTAATAAACATGGAGTGGGTTTTATCATTGCTCCAGAAACAGCAAAATATTTACTAGATTCAGAATTCGTGTCAGAGAGAATCATAAGTATTAGACTGGCTGCAGGTAAACGAAGAGTATCGTATATTCAAGTATATGCTCCTTGTAACGACACTTACACTGAAGAAGAAAGAACGGAATTTTTTGACCAACTTAGTGAAACCATCAGTAAAGTTACAGACACTGATGGCTTGTATGTGATGGGAGATTTCAACGGACATGTGGGAGAACGTCGACCTCCATGGTCCACATATATAGGACTATTTAGTGACAAAGAAAATAAATGTAACAACAATGGAGAACAATTACTCAATGTATGTGCAGAGCATGAACTAATTATCAGCAACACGGTATACCAACATAAGAGAAGCAAGATACTGACCTGGTATAAATGGAATAATATTAACCAAGCATCACAGATAGATTTTATTCTCACAAAAAAGAGCGACAGATGGAGAATAAAGAACTCCAGGGCCATCCCAAATGCAATAATAGACTCTGACCATAGACCTGTAGTACTTTGGCTCTATAAACCAACAAGAATTTGCACTGATAAAACACCACAGCTAATGGATCAGATAGCCATAGAGAAACTAAAAGACAAAGATGTGGCAATTCAAGTTGAGGAAACAGTTAAAAACACCTTCAGTACTCTAGAGAGAGGAAATGACATAGAAGAAGAGTGGCAAATTTTAAAAACCTGCATCCTGAATGTAATGACAGAAAAGTGCGGACTCCGAAAGCCAAGAAGGCACATGAAACAAACAGCATGGTGGAATGAAGAAGTTAAAATTTCTATCAAAGAAAAGAAGAAATATTTTCATCAGTGGCAAAAGTCCAAATTAGATGAGGACTACATCAAATATAGAGAAGCAAGAGCAAAGAGCAAGAGGAAAGTAAATTCGGCAAAATCAGAATCATGGGCAAACTACGGAGAACAATTAGCAAGGCTATGCACTGATTCACCAGGTCAGTTCTACCGAAGCATCAAGGCTATGAGACTAAGAGAAGAGAAATGTAACCCATCAAAGATCATAAACAGCAAGGCTAAAAAACCACTCATCAAATCCCAAGATGTTAAAAGAAGATGGCAAGAATATTTTTCTGAATTCCTGAATAGTGGACCACAAGAACCAGTGTCTAATAAAATAAAATTTGGACAAGAACAAGAACCTAATATATTAGAATCTGAAGTTGAAAAGATCCTAGAGCAAAGCAAAAGAAACAAAGCGGCCAAAACAAATGGTATTACAACAGACATAATACTTGCATGTAAGGCAACAGCAGTAAAATGGCTGACAAGAATATTCAATATGGCCTGGGAGGAAATGAAAGTTCCCGTTGACTGGCAGAGAGCAATTATATTTCCCATATGGAAGAAGAAAGGTGATAAACGAGATTGTGAAACATACAGAGGTATCTCTTTACAAAGCCATGTAGGAAAGATGTTTGCAAAAATATTAGAACGAAGAGTGAGAGTGATATTAGAACCTCAATTAAGTAACAACCAGTTTGGATTTAGAAAAGGTAAGAGCTGCACTGATGCAATATTTACTCTTAGGCAAATTTGTGAGCAGACAATCGAATATAATAAACACCAGAATCTTATATTCATTGATCAAGAGAAGGCTTTTGACAGGGTTAACAGAAATAAACTATGGAACATTCTTGAAGAATATAGTGTACCGGGTCAATTATTGGGAAACATAATGGCTCTCTATCAAAATAGCCAGAGCGCTGTAAGAACAACGGAAGGTATGACAGACTGGTTCCCCATTACATCAGGAGTACGACAAGGATGTGTCCTATCACCCCTACTCTTTATCACATATATGGATAAAATTGCACAGGAGTCAAACCAAAACACAGATATTATAAATGAACTTCTCTTTGCAGATGACCAATGTTTGTTACAAGAAGAAGAACAAAAACTACAACAATATGTTGATTCATTGCTCACTAACTGTACAAAATTTGACATGAAAATAAACCCCTCAAAAACTGAAGTAATGACCATAGGAAAGAAACACAGTAATGTAAACATAAAGATCAATGACATACAATTAGAACAAGTTCATGAATTCAAGTACTTAGGATGCATATTTACAGAAGATGGAAGACTCGATAAAGAGATACAGGCTAGAGTTCAAAAAGCCAATGCAGTCAACTACCAACTGGCCCCACTTCTTCGTCATCCAAAGATCT